AATGGCCCCAGCAGGGGATCGGTCCCCATGGTACCGGGGGAGGGGCAGGGAGGTCCCAGCTCCAGGGATGGACACGGGACGGTTTGCCCTGTGCAAGGGCTTCGAAGTGGGTGGCGGGGAGCTGGATAGGGACCCCTGCTGGAGCAGGCGGTGGGTGGGGGACATGGAGCTGCCGGTGTCTGTGAAGGCAGGTGATGCGGGCCCGTCTCAGGGAGGGGCTGCAGAGCCAGCGTCTGGCCTTGGTTCAGGCCTCCCGAGGCCCGAGGCAGGGGCGGCAGGAGACCACGGGGGCTGTGCTTGTGCCCGGGGTCAATCAGAGAAAGGACAGGCGTGTGGTGGCGGGGAACGGGCCATGGGCGGCAGTGGCTTGGCCTCACCCCGAAATAGCTTCCCCTAGAGCGGCAGCCCTCCACCCAGGCGGCACCCCCAGCCCCCGCTGTGGACACGTGTCTGGAGGCGTGTTTGCCTGGCACAGCTGGGGTAAGACAGGGCGCCGCTGGAGTCCTGCCCACAGCAGCCGTGCCCGGTGACAAGGAGTCCCCTCCCCAGTCGGCAGCGCCGTGTGAGAAGCCCTGGCCGTTGGGCTCTGGTGTCCCTCAGACGTGGCTCCGGCCCCTCTTCCAGTTGTCACTAGCCGTGGGCATGTCACAGGACCTCGCTGACCCTCAGCTTTCCTGTCTGTAAAATAGGCATGTTACCACTTAGAGGTTATCCCTGGTATCAGCAGGCCACGTGTGAAGGCCCAGGCCGCCCTCCCATTCTTTAATTTTATTTTTATTTATTGATTTAGAGAGACAGAAAGGAAGGGGGAGAGAGAAGCATTGGTTTGTCGTTCCATGCACGTATGCCTTCGCTGGTTGCTTCTTGTATGCGCCCTGACCGGGGATCAGACCCTCAAACTCTGGGTATCGGGGCGACGCTCCAGCCAACTGAGTCACCCGGCCAGGGTCACCGCCCCCCCTGCCCCGCCCCCCTCCCCCTCGCCACCATTCTTGATTTCTAGGGCTGGGCGGGGACCAGAGCCTGGGCTCAGCGTGGGCCGGAGAGCAGACAGCAAGGCGGGGCCGTGGGGCTGCAGGCCACCCCGGACCCTGGCAGCACAGTTCCTGCTTCTGCCGGAGCCAGCAGGGCCGCATTCTCTGCCCTCCGGCCCAGGTGGGGCCGGGAGCCAGCCCGAGCGGCGGGGGGAGGCGCGCAGAGAGCCAACCCCCGGGGTCTGTCCCCATACACATGTCCCTGGGGGGCCGGCGGCGAGGAGCCGCACCTGCGTCTCGGCAGGTGAGTACGCGCGCACCTCTGCATGTGTGTGCACGCCACGGTCCGCGGGTCTGCCTGTGCGCGAGCGTGCGGTGTGTGGAAGGGGAACAGGGAGCAGGGCGGAGGCTGGCAGGGAGACCTGGCAGCTGGCCGACTTCCCCAATCCTGGGGCGAGGCGGGAGTGGCTGTCCTCTGGCCTCCGCCCTGGCACCTGGGGGCTGGGCAGTGGGCTGGCGGGCGGGAGCGCCTGGAGCTGGCCCAGGAAGGAGCTAATGATCAACCGGCTGTCTTCGCGGGCCTGCCTCTCGCCGCTGGCCCCAGGCGCAGGGAGGAAGTGGGGCAGGAAGCAGGGGGCGGTGGCCGCTGCCGAGCACTCAGTCTGGCTGAGGGCGGCCCTGCCTGCCCCGGCCGGCAGAGACAGCCTTTGGGCCAGCCAGGGAGGAGCCGGGAGCAGCGGCCTGGCGTCTGCTGTCCTGGGAGCTGCTCTGAGGAGCGGGCGCAGGTATGAGGGCGCCAGGACAGGCGGGCCACCGGGGCCACAGTGTGGGGGGGGGCGCGGGGAACAGGGGGCGTGGACTGGCCCAGCTGTCGCTGCCCATGGAGCAGGCCTTGCCGCCGTTTGATCTAAGAATAGCCTCCCGTCCTGTGCTTTCGGGGAGACGTGTCTGACCTTTTGGGAGTGGGGAGCAGACCCAAAGCCTGGGGAGCCTGGAAGGCAGTGGACCAGGGCAGAGAGAACCCGAGAAAGCCGCCCCTGCCGCTTGGCAGTGAGGGGGCCGGTGACGATGTCACACCTGACAGAGCGCACGGCCCCCCGACCTCTGCTGACCTTTCCCCCACGGGGCACAGCCAGCCCATCCCTGGCCGGCACCAGGGCACCCAGCTCCGCTGCATCTGAAGTGGGACCTCTCGCTGGGCTGGGACCCGTCCCCCCAACCCCGGGCCTCTTTCGGCCTCAAAACGGGGCGGGTGCCTTGACCGGGGAGGGGCGCCAACCAGGAAGGACGCAGACACAGGCCCCCCCGACCCCAGGTCCGGCCCCGGGTGTGGGGTCCGTGGACACTGCTGGGACCCGGCACAGGCACCTGGCCGCCCCTCCCGGAGCCCCGGGCCCCCGGGTCTGTCTGCGAGGACTCCCGACGGAGCGCGGTGGGGGGTCCTAGACACGACGGCTGGCAGAGCGCCGTTGGGGTGCTCACGGTGCCGGCCAAGCGTGAGGAGGCCTCCTGGACCCCAGTCTGAGGAGCTGCGGCCGAGCCTGCGGTAGGGGCTGGGGGCGGGGGCTGGACTCGGACCTGCCTGGACACTGAGCCTCTGACCGACCGGGCCGCTGCCTGGGCCGGGGGTGGTGCCGACGTTTGATGTGACTAAAGTCCTTCCATTCTGCTCACGAGACCGCCCTGACGTGGGTGAGGCCGCCCTGCTTCACAGCAGCCGAGTCACGGTGCAGAGCCCCGGGCGGACGAGCGTCCGGGGCCTGCTTGACCACGGCCCACAGGCCAGGCTGACGGCAGCCGCTCCCCGTCCAGGCTGGAGGCCAGAGGTCTGACATCAGAGTGTCAGCAGGGCCACCTGCTGCCACAGGCCCCGGGGGAGGCACTGACCCACCTCCTCCAGCGTAAGGTGGCCCCAGGCGGTCCCAGGCGTGTGGCCTCCTCAGTCCTGCCCGTCCTCTGCGGTCACGGGGCCTCTCTCTGTGCATGTCCCTCCTCTTGTACTGAGGACACCAGACACTGCGTTCAGGCCCCAGGCCCCTCCAGCGTGGCCTCATTTGAACTTCATCTGCCGAGACCCTGTTTCCAAAGAAGGGCGCTGTTTGTTCCCCCCCCCCAGGACAGGGGGCAACCGGACCACCCTCGAGAGGTGCTTCCTGGGGGCGTGGGCGAGATCTGCACGGGCCCCCGGCGTATTTGTCCTGCACGAGCCCTGTGAAAGCTGAGGCCAGAACCCCAAACCCGTTCAAGACTGGATTGGCACCATGTCCTGCCCCCGCACCATGGAACCCCTTTATTAAGCGGCAGCTGTAACCCAGGAGCACCGTTCAGTTGGTCCCTGACCTCCGTGCGGGTGGATGTTCTCAGTGTCAGCTGAGGCGCGGAGCCAAGGGGACCAGGGCCAGAGGAAGAAGAACCTCCGCAGGGTGCCTGAGGGCGGCCCGGCCCACTGCCCCTCGGGAGCTCGGGGCAGCCCTCCGCAGTGGGAGCTGGCAGCCCGCTGGCCGAGCGAGGCCATTTCAGGAACCAGCGGCAGGGAGGAGGGAGTGCTTCCACGGAGATGACACCCACTTCCTCATCGCTGGACTGTCCCCGGGAACGTATGGTTGCCCCCTGCGGCCCCGCCTACCTGGCGGGGCCCTCGAGGAGCAGGCGGGCTGGCCCTGTCGCTGGGGAGGCGGGCAGGATGGCAGGCTCTTGCCCGGGGCGTGGTGGCGTGGTGCCATGGTGCCAGGTGCCGGGCTGTGGGGGGCTTGCTCCACGTCAGGGGGTGCGTGAGACCTGGCTCCTGAAGGATGAGGTGACAGAGAGGGGGGAGGACGAGGACCCGGGTGGGGACAGGCGTCAGGACTAGAGACCTCACACGCAGGACCCGAGGGCCCTGATGGGGAGCCTCGTGGGCCTCGGCGCGGGGAGTGCGGGCGGCGGCGGCTGGAAGCCGCGCGCTGCCTGGTCCCAGCATCGCCAGCGGAAGGGGGTCGTGCGGGCGCCCGTGTCTGTGGCCGAAGCTGGGGGTCTGCCCGTGGTGCCTGTCGCCCTGCGCCTGCACTCCCTGCCTGAAAGGGGGCTTCTGTGTTCTCCCGGGTCCTCCAGTTGGTGACAAAGCCCCAGCCCCAGGAGCGTGTCTGCCCAGCTGCAAAGGGCCCCTTGTCTCTGGCCCGGAAGGATGAGGCAGAACAACTGGCCCCTGGGGCGGGGGGGGCGACTGGGCACCTCCCCCCCCCGCCGGGGCGCAGAGAAGTATCGCTTCTGCCTCCGCCACTTCCACTTCCCTGCCCTCTGTCACCGGCTTCCATCCACGTGGGGCCTGGGACCTGGCCCATTTCCTGAAAAACAGGACGCGTTCGGGGACCCTGCCAGAGTCCAGGGCCTCCTGCTGGGAGCGATGTGCCCGCGGAGCCGGGTCAGGCCGAGGGGTTGTCACAGCAGCTCCGGGACCTCCTGGGCGGCGTCCCAGCTCGCTGAGGCCTGTGTGACAGGGACCCACCTACAGAGTCACTTCTCAGGGATGCGCGTCCCGGGGGGTCCTCGTGTCAGCACCGCCGGCGAAGCGTGCGGGGGCCTTGCCCACAGCGCAGGGTGTCACCGTGTGAGACGGGGACTCCGCGGCTCCCGTCCCTACGCGGCCGGTGCCCTGCTCACACACCGTTCAGGCATCGCAGTCACGTCTGGGTGGCGATGACGCGGCAGGCTGTGAGCTGCTTCCTCGGGGTCTCTAGTGACCCCAGCCTACAAGGGGCCAACCGCCCTGTCTGGCCAGGTGGGCGTTGACCAGGCCGCCATGCAAATGCTGGCACGAGGTTCCGACAGCCTGTTCTGGGGGCCCTGTGCTGGTCAGAGGGGATGTGACCCACAGGCAGACCCGTGAAGGCTGAGTAGGGCCCATCCGGCCCAAAGGGGTGGGGGGCAGGGGGCTTCTCTCTGCTTGACCCCAGCTCTGGCGGCAGGATCCATGCGGGTCCCGGCGGCCCGTCTTCCCGGGGAGGCGGCCACTGTGCCCCTCCCGCCAACGCTCGCCTCTCTCCACAGAAGGCGGCCTGGCATGCTGAGCCCCAGGCGCTGAGGCCGCGGTCGGTCATGAAGGACCCAGCAGAGGCAGCTGCGGAGGAGCCGGCCCCGATGGGGAGGGTGACCGCCGTGGGGCCCTTGAGTGGCAGTGGTGGCAACGGGGCCCAGAGAGAGGCCGCGAGCGCATCCGTCAGCTGGACACGAGCAGGACCCGAGGAGGCCCAGGCTGAGGACAGAGACGGTGAGTGTGGGGCGCGAGGTGCGTCCCTCGTTCCCCAGGCAGGGGCCGGGGCGCTGCCGCACGGGCAGGTGTCTATCGGGAGAGTCCACCCGCCCAGTGAGGCGCCTGCGGGACAGCGTGACTTTCCAGGGGCGCGTCAGGAATCAGCAAACACGTGGAGGAAGGGGAAGGGGCTGGAAGCGCCAGGACAGACGCCCCCACACGCTGAGGGCTCTTTGCAAACCGCTGCGTTCCCACAGGCCTGCTTTGGTCTGGACACCAGCCTCCAGGGTGCTCAGGACGGCGTCCCCCGGTGCCCCAGACACAGACGAAGGCCCAGAGAGGCAAAGACCGCGCGGCCAGACCAGGCTGGGGCTTCTTACCCCACTCACCTCCTCTCTTTCTGTGTTGTTTTGAGCCCTAAATCCATCCGCGCATGTAGTTCCTGAAACGTTCGCTTCGGCCACTTGGTGAAGGGACCTTGGCCCTCCCCGCCCACGGCACAGCCTCCCCCTTCCCTCGTCCCTGCTGTGCAGCCTGTGGGAAGACCCAGGAGAGGGGGCCCGTGGCCCCGTCCTCCTGAGCCTCGCAGAGTGGCGCTTTCCCACCTGTGCCCGGCTTTCAACTGAAATGAAACAATTGGGCTGGTTCCCAACGGCCACGTGTTCCTGCTTTTTTCCTCCACTCTTACCCGTTGACTTTCTCCCTTGCGGACGTCTGTCCCTGCCCCGCTATCCGTCCGTCCGGTGGCGGGCTCGTCGGCCTGTACCTCGCTCTTGACTGCATTGCTTGCCATTGTTATTTATGTTGTCGCCCCGATCACCCCAGCTTTGGCTGTCCCTGCGTCCCGCTGTCCTGGGAGCATGCCCCACATTCGGGGCCCACGGGCCTGGCCCGCCCCCCGCACGCCCCGGCCCCGGAAATGGCTGCTTCTCGAGGCTTGGGCTGCTGAACGAGGGGGTTGGCGCTTCGCCCCGGAGCTGGAGGCCGCCTGCCTTCCTGGGTCTGATGGGTTGTACGGTGTCCCCGCCGCGAGCGTGGCCCTTGGGCAAGGCCTGGGACGAAGGGCAAGAGAGGCCCGGAGGGGGCTCTGACTTCTGGGTTGTCACCTCTCCATGCAGTCAGCCCAATAGTGACCCCCGGGGACGTCCACACCCTAATCCCAGCCCTCCGGGCACACACGTCGCTTCCTGTGGCAGGAGAGGCTGCAGACGGGGTGATGTTAAGCATCTCGCGGTGGGGCCATCATCCGCCATCCGGGAGAAATCCCCGTGGGGCGGGGCCCAGGGCCAGGGATGCAGGCGCCGCCAGGAGCTGAGAGAGGCAAGGAGCCTCCCAGAGGCACCGGCCCTGCCGGCACCGTGACATGAGCGCAGGAGGCCCTTCCCACGCTCCAGAGCAGCGAGGTGGCGCGCTGTGCTGTTTCCCGAGGCCGCCACGCTGGCTTCCGGGGGCTCTCACGGCCTCCCATCCTCGCGGCTCCCTCCGTGGCCCTGCAGGAAGGGACTCTGAGCGTTCAGAGCTCCGCGGCTTGTGGGGGTGTGGGCGCCCCTCTTTTGTTCCAGAAATAGCTGGGGGATGGGGGCCTGCGTAGGTGTGAGAGGCCTGTTGTCACCTGAACCACAGACCTGCCCCGTTGTTACAGGCGCTGCCCCGCCCCCCGGCGTCGCTCAGCAGGATGCCCGGACCCCTCCCGGCCAGATGGGGGCCTACCCAACAGGTAGACACCCTCGCGTGCGGCACCACACAAGGGGGTCCACGAGGCAGGGGTGTGCATGCGGCGCCCCGGCCCCCGTGCCCTCCGTGGGGCGGGTGGTGGGGGGATGTCCCACGCGGAGGCCCAGGTCCTGCGTCCCTCTGGTCCCACTGGCTGGAGCGGGCCCAGGGCTCTGCGATCCACGGGCCTCCCTGGGCTCTGCTGCATCTGCTTCACAAGGGGACATGGCCCTCAAAGCCACACGCAGGGGAAGGGACGCTCTGGGACGGGGGGGATGGGGGGCGGGGTGAGAGCTGCAGGCGAGAGGCACAGAGGACGGTGAAGGGCCCTCAGGGGGTGTCGGGGTGGCTGTGGCCCTGGGCTGTAGGTGGGGGAGGGGAGCACCTGCCCCCGCCCCGGGGGCCCCCTGCCTGCTCCCAGCTGTGCGGGACACGGAGCCCCCCGCGTTGTTTCCCCCTCTCCTTTGCCTGCCCCCACATGCTCCTTCCGGGTGGCCAGTGTTCTCTCTGGTCATCTTTGTGGACCAGGACAAATTGAGCAACAGGGCAGATTGTTTGGAGTTTTTAAACCCGACCCCGCCCTTCTGCGGAAGTGGGGGGGGTCACGTCTTAGAGCCAGTGGTGAAATGCTGGGCCAGCTTCCCGGCTGCGGGGCACGGCCTGCCCACAGGGGGCAGGTCTCTCCAGAGTCACTGCCACTGGCCTGCCCCTCGGGAGGGGGCGGGGCGTTGGCTCCAGGGCCCTTTGCCGGAAAACTCTAAGGCAGGCACAAGGCTTGTTCAAAGGGTGCCGAATCCCTCCCTCCCCGCCTTCTATTTCTCCTTCCGCCTCTGTAGCCCCCAGCCCCCCTACAGCAGCCTCTGTTCTGGGGACTCTTGGGTTGTGGAGGCCTCCTGGTGGGACAGGGTGGGAGCGCAGTGGGTGCGCGGTGGCATCTGATCGGCATCGTAGGGCAGCCGGCCCGGGGGAGGCCGTGGGGCTCACGGTGGGCCCGCGGGGCCTGCGAAGGCAGGAGGCAGGTGGCCTGGGCCGGGCTGGGGCTGGGAACGGGAGGGGAGGAGGGGCCTGCCCTGGGGTGGGAGGCCTCTGCGGGGGCTGGGGTCTCAGTGGCTCAGGGTCGGCTCCCTCGGTGCCGTGCTGTCCTGGAGCTGCTGGGGGAGCCCCCGCCTCCTCTCACTCTGGGGCGCAGGTGACGTGCACCTCGTTCGCCATGGCAGGATCTGGGGCTCAGGGCCACAGACCGCTGAGCGCAGGCAGAGTGGGACTCGGGCATGGAGCCCGGTCCCACGTTTGTGGGCGGGGCTTCGAGAGGGACGCCTACTGCCCGACCTTGACCTGCGCTGCCCCACCCCCCAGACCTGACCCTGCAGCTGCTGGCCGTGCGGAGGAGGAGCGGGCGGCCGGACCCCGGGCTGCAGCAGGCTCTGCGGGCCCGGCTCCGCCTGCTGGAGAACGACAGCTGGGAGGTGGCCCGCACGCTCGGGGTGAGCCTGGCCCTCAGGCCCGGGGCGCGTGGGGGGCACGCCTGGGTGAGCGGAGGGCTGAGGTACGCGTGAGGCCACGGGACGGGACCGGGAGAGGCTGTGCGGAGCTGGAGGAGGGCCAGGCCGTCAGGGGCCGCGGCCGCGGGCGGGAAGCCGCCCTCCCACCTCGCCTCATGGCGGTGCGGTGACTTGTCCCCCTACCTGCTCACCTGGGCGTCTGGCTCCTGGGACCACCTGTTGCTCCTGCAGGCCCAGCCTCATGGGGCCGCCATGTCCCCAGTTCCTTTCTCCCTGTGCCCCGCACCGAGACTGCAGAAGTCCTTTATGGGGAGTAAGGGCCTGGTGGGAGCGGATCTCATGCTTTGGTTGTGGTGCAGGCCGGGCGGCCTGTCCGGCTGGGGGCCCTGGAGGAGGAGCTGGGCCTGGAGACCTGGCCATGGCGGGGGTCCCGGGGCGGGACTGACAGCCCTCGTCTGGCCTTGCAGTCGGCCTGGCCTGACCTGGGCCCATGCCCCTCAGCCTCTGTGAACCCAGCTTCCTGAGCTGCTTATGAGGGGCTTAGAATTTTTACCGAGGGAGCCGGTGGGAGGGTCCGCACACAGCACCACCGAGTGTGGCGCTCAGCACGAGGGCACCGATGGCCCCTGGCAAGGGCGGTGGGGTCCCGCAGGGTGGCTCTGGGCTGAATCCCTGCAGCGCCGCTTACTGAGGGTCCGGGAAGCTGGAAGTCTGAGAGCAGTGTCGCATCGCTGCTCGAGGCGCGCGGAGCGGTCGGGGACGGGAGTGGACGTCCCGGGAGCCCCGGAGGGGCGGAACGTGGCATGGGCACCGGGGAGCTGGGAGGCTTGAGAGCCGGAGGGGAGCAGCCCGGGCTGGGGAGGCCGCACGGCTGCCCGGCCGGGTCCTGACCCCCGCTCCTTCCCCGTAAGGAGCTCTCGGCGCGGCTGCTGTCCATCCACAGTGACCAGGATCGCATTGTGGTGACCTTCAAGACTTTCGAAGAAATCTGGAAGTTTTCCACCTACCACGCTCTTGGTAAAGCCGTGCCCTCCCAGAACCGGTGACAGGGACGCCCCTTACTGGACACTGTAACTGGACATGAACGCCAAGCGTTCATGTTACCAACCGGGGCTTTGGGGTAGGTCAGTGCACGCGGCCTCCAGGGGAAGCAGAGCGTTGGTGTGCTCGCCTGCTCCCAGGCAGGGACGCGGGGGGCGGGGGGGCTCCGGCCGCTCGGCGCCCGGGCGGCATGAACGACTGGGTCCGCGTTTCCAAACTCCGTCAACGGGCACCGCCCAGCATTGCTTGACAGCCCGGCTGGCCCTAGTACAGACCACGAAACATTTTAACCTTGACCATAGCACTTGCTTTCTAGAGCATTCCTCGTTCTATGGGGAGGCATTGGCAGGGTCTCCTGGGGAAACTCGCTCCACCCCGCCCCCTCCCCGTCCGAGAGCAGCGGAAATTTGGAAACAAGAACCAGAGGGACGGTTGCTACCTGCCTGCGGCAGGGCCGGTGCCCCTCCCACCCCCAGAGCACACGACCTTGTGGCAGGCCCTCGGCCCCTCTCACGGACTGGGGGTCCTACAGGAAGTGACCTTCCCAAGGCACAGGGAGGTCAAATAAGAGATCCGTGGTCACGGCTGGTCCCCCTGCAGCTCCGACAACCAGGCAGCTGGCCGGCCTGGGTGGGGGACGGGGCTGTGAGCACCCAAGGCCGGGCAGGGCCTGTGCCGAGCCTGCCCAGTGGGGGCGTCCCTGCGCCCTCTGGGACCCGCGGTGACCGGGGCCGGCCTGCTCCCCAGGCTTCACTCACCACTGCCTGGAAAACCTGCTCGTGGACCAGGCCTTCTGGCTGCTGTCGCCGGCTGAGGACGAGGAGACGGCCATCCGGGTCCACGTGGACGAGGAGGCCCTGGGGCTGACGCACGAGAGCCTCCTCCTCCAGGAAGGTGAGGCCTGGTGTGTGGCCGCGGCCTCGGCCAGCTCTGGCTGCGCTGGGTGCTCGCGGGGTCTCAGGCGGCAGGAGGGCTCCGGAGGGGGCTGCGGGCTGGTGAAATGGACAGGGACGCTCCTGGGCGTCGTCCCTGAGCTGGGAGGCCGTGATCAGCTCCCAGAGAAACAGCAGGTTTCGCAAGCGCCACCCCCACCGGCGTCCTGCCTGTCCGACCCTGGCCTGCTCTGGCCACAAAGGAAGAGGTGGCCGTCTGTGGTCACACTCGCCTGGGCTTTTGGCCCCTCGCAGCGCAGGAGGGGACACGGAGTCCCCGGGAGCTTTCGGCCAAGCCGGGCGCCCAGAAAATGGCAGGCAGAGCCAGGGCTCCAGCCCCGGTCCAGCCTCCCGGCGGGGTCCCCGGGGCTTGGGGCCTGGGCAGCTGGCGTCCATGGAGGCAGACACAGGGCTGGGGGCTCCTGTGGGCGCTGCCTCCGCACCTGCATCTTGGCGGGCAAACGGCTGGACCCGCCCACAAGGCTCCCGCTGCCTCCAAGCCCAGCCACCCTGAAGGACCACCCTCTGTTGCTATGAAGGGCCTTTCTTCGTCTGGGGTCCGGACCTCTACGTGAGAAGGACAACCGTGCCTCAGGGTGCAGGGCGGGGGCCCCTGCCCCTCAGGCGGGCGGCAGGGGCTCCCCCGGGAGAACCAGCCCCAGCAGCGGCAGCAGAAGCAGCAGCGGACTCCCCGGCCCCCAGCCGCAGGCCACCCGCGGAGGAGACGGCCACACCTGCGGGAGAGCCTTTGATTCCGTTTCATCAGTAGGTACCGACCTTTGTTTCTCTGCTTCCTGCTGTTGGGAGACATCCCAGGGCTGTTGGGGTGGGGGCGGGGCAGAGGCCCGGGAGCCCCCGGCTGCCCCCAGCACCGGCATCACAGGTGACAGGGCCTGACAGCTCCCGGCAGGGCTGGGAGGCTCCGGATGGGCTGGCGGGGCTCCTGCGTCAGAGTCTGGCTGGTTCTGGAAAGTGCTGAGGGAGCTGCTCACGCGTGCCCACAACGCGGGAGCACGCAGGAGCCCACGAATGTCACCCGAGGCGTAGGGGGCCCGGGAGAGGCCGGGACAGGCCCCCCGGAAGCTGCTGTGCCCACACCGACTGTGGGCATGAGCCTGGCGGGGAGCTTCCTGGCAGCCAAAGTGGAGAGGAAGTTGGTCTCCTGATGTTCGGTGCCCCAGAAGTAACTGGCCGGGGGACGGAAAGGGCCGTCCCGGGACCTGGGCCCGCGGAAAGGAAGGAGGGACCAGGCTGGGGGGAGCCGGCCTCTGGGGACAGTGACACACCCAGGCCCGAGGCCACGCCCCCGGCCGGTGTGAGTGCAGCAGGGATGCTGGTGGCACCAGCAGGAGGCGCTGGGGGCTGTTGGCCCACCAGCTCCCGCGCGGCCTCAGCTGCCTCCCCCAGCTGGAGCCCTGCAGCAAGGCCCTCCCCTCCCCACTCCAGGTGGGCTCTCAGGGTCCCCTGGGACCCCTTCGAGGACTCTGTGGGCGGACCCGTGACGCCGGACGTCCAGCAGATGGGTAAGTGTTTCCACTGATTTTTCTCCCTTGGGAAAAGGGGGGGTGGTGGTGAGGAGGGACAGGCACCAGTATTCTGGAAGCATCTGTGCTCACCTAATGCTCCCCAAGCCAGAAGACGTAGCGAGAACCCTGTCCAGTTCCCAAGGCGCTGACCGCAGCTCCCAGGAGCCTGTGGGCTGGCGCCGACTCACACCGCCGTCACGGCAAGGCCAGGCCGGGCCCTGGTCGCTCTGCCTCTAGAGTGTGGCTCCCACGGACTGTGTTAGACACGCGGGGAGGGGGGCCCTGCGGCGGGGCGGGGGCTGGAGCGGGCGGGGCTGCGGCTGGGTGTGCCACGAGCGCTGACGGGGCGAAGGCCGGGTCTTCTTTTGAGAAGCCAGCAGGGCTGGGACCCTGGGCTCCCGGCCTAGCCCTTGCTCTGCCTCAGGCTGGCTGAGCCTCTGCGGGGCCTGTGTCCCTGTTACACAGACATGAGGCCCCATGGGAGGTGGAATGGGAGGGACCCGTGTTTATAGCTGCTTGCACCCCAGGTGGGCCCTGGCCTGGCCTGGCCGGGGTGGGGCGGAGGGACCCCGGCCTTGGAGGCCGACTGCCCAGCCCTCGTTAAGGAGGGCCCCTGGGCCTCAGTTCCTCACTCCCAGTGTGGGGACCCCGTGGCTGTCCAGCCCCCCGAGTGCGGCGGCCAAGCTTCCCCGCGATGCCGGACAGGTGCTCCCCGTCCCTGCTGGGGGCTGCCGTCGCCCCTCGGCCCCATCGCACTGACCATGTGCCCTCCTCCCGCAGCCGTGGGCCTGGCCTCTGCGGTGGCCGACCACCAGGGCTCGGGGCCTGAAGAGGTGACCTTCCGCCACGGCGACCTCATTGAGATCCTGGGCGCCCGGGTGCCCGGCCTGCCCTGGTTCCTGGGCCGGCACGTGTCCTCGGGCCAGGTCGGGTTTGTGCGGACGAGTCTCGTCAGTGTGCAGGGCCACGTGTCTGAGTGAGTGGCTGAGGCCCCGCCCCTTCCTGAGCCCGCCCCTCACCCCGTGGGAACTGCTGCCACTGTCTACCTGCTTCCCAGGTGACAAACCCAGACTTGGCCCTGGGTCGCTCCCCCCGAACCTGCTCCCAGCCTTGGCCACAGGGCTGGAGTGTCGACTCCCGCTCTGTGCCCCCCGAGGCCCGGGGGAGGCGCCTTCCTGCCTCCCGGCTCCTGGCAGCGGCCCAGGGGCTCCCTCCGGCCCCCTCTCCCCAGTCTCTGCCTCTGTCCCCGGCCCCTTTCCGTGTGACTCTTATAAGGACACCAGTCCTTGGCCGCGGGGCCCCCGAATTACCCACCACGATCTCATCTCAGGATCCTCAACTTGCTCGCATCCGCAAAGACCCAATGTCCGAGCAAGACTCCCTTCTGAGGACCTGCATCGGGGGACACTGTTCCGTTCAGTGCACCATGCCATCCCCCTTTACGAAGCCCTTCGAGGCTTCTGGGCCTGGCCTTCAAGGCCGCCACGACCCGGGCCGCAGGGGCCCCCGATTTCAAAGGCCCCCTGAGATTGGCCGCTGGCCCAGCCTGAGTCCAGCTGCGAGGCCAGCTCGCCCCTCTGTCCGGGCCCTCCCGCTTTCCTGGCTCCCAATGGCCCCGTGCCGTCGGCGGGGGCTCATCCCTGGGGGGGCCCCCCACGCCCCTCTGTGGATGTGCCTGCCTCCACCCCCTTCCGGGGACTCTGAGGAAGGGCTATCTGGTCACCTCCGTGTCCCCGTGGCCGGGCCCTGAGCAGCAAGGCGTCGTAGGAGAGGGGTCGGCAAGCACAGCTGAGGAGGAATTCTGCTCCCCCAGACTTGGTCTTCCATTGTCAAGACTGGTCAGGGAGCCTGGATAAGATGGTTTGGAAAGGACCCTTTAGGTGGGTCCTGGGGTCCGGGCCCATCCCCACCCGCCGGGCCTCACCTCCTCCGGCCGGCCCTGACGTTCCGTCTCATTCCTGTGTGGCTCTGGGAGAGACCAGCGCTCCCAGAGCCAGCTCAGGGGCCACTTGGGCATCGTGACGCGTCCTGCAGCCGTTTCGCTCCCTCGCTTCAGCGTCTGCCTGCGCCTTTCGCCGGCCATGGGAGGCAGCCTGACCCTGGCCGGGCCCAACGCCGAGAGCGGCAGCTAGACCAGCGTTTCCCAAAGCGTGTTCCCCCCACCCCACCCCACACCCGGGCGCGCGTCATAAACCTCGCGGCGCTCACTCGCGTAGGGCTGTGCCCTCATGTGCCGGCAGGCCGTCCGCAGGGTCCGCAGCTCAAGGCGGGCGCCAGGGTGTCGGAAACGCTCCTTTGTCCTGTCCAGCTGTTTCCCGCACTGACCCAACCCCAGAGCCCGTTCCGCACAGAGCCCTGCTGGCCGGCGTTCTGGGGGACGCTGTTTGGGGACCCTGGGGATAAATGATTCCCACCGCCCCTGGGGAGGCCACGTGGCTTAGACAGGTCCTGAACTTACTGACGTCTGAGCTGGAGGACGCAGGAGACACACTAACCTGTCCCCGTCCCTTAACCCAGGAGGGTGATGGGCCAGGGCCACCGGTCCCGTCCGCAGCAGAGACCCGACCGGCTTCCCGCGCTCTCACGCGCTGAAATCTCTGCCTCCCAGGCCCTGTGGCTGTGCCCTCCGCTCAGTGAACAGCCTGGGGCCTGCTGCTTTTCCTTCTGACGCCGTTTCAGACTCGGAGAAAAGGCGCCGTAAGCACGCACGGTGCCTGTGCACCCTTCACCCCAATGGCCCGGACGCCCGTGTTACCGCGTTCGCTCTCCTTTTTCCCTCTTTCCTTCTAGATTTTTCTAAACCCTTTGAAAATGAGTGGCACACACGACATCTTTTACTCCTGAATAATGCAGGGTTTCCCAAAACCAGGATGTCGGCTTACTAGCCACAGTCTGACAGTCAACGTCAGGGAACTGACGGCAACACGTGTTACCCACGGGCCTCGCTCGGGTTGGGCCAGCCCCCCCCGCCCCGTGCCCCCTGCAGCCAGAGCACGTTCCAGACCGCGTGCTCCCTGTCTCCTCAGCCTTGTCCCCTTCATCCGAAGCGGTTCTTCTGTCACTCCTGTCTTCGACGGCAGACATTTTTTGGCACTTATTTTGTTGAATGTCCCATAAGCCTCTCTGTTTCCTTTACCTTCTCAAAATAGCTTCCTCCAAGCTTCAAAGTGCATTTCGAAGTTTCGTATTCTGTGGGTAATTTAGTCCTATAAGCGAAACTGGCCTCCTCCGCGCCGTTTACCCCCGTTTCTCCTCCCCCCGACCTCACGGAGCATACATGTGTCTGTTGAGGGGGCTGTGGGAAGCACCGTGGGGCAGGTGTGAGGCGCGCAATGTGTGGCAGCATCCATCCCAGCCAGCCTCCCAGGCTGAGGGGTGTCTGCCATGGGGTTTTGCAGGCTGCCTAGGAGCCCATCTTCCCGGGCTGCCATGACCCCTCCCCCGCCGTGTCTGCCACAGCTGTCTCTGCCCCCGAGTGTCCGCTCCTGGCCCCACGAGGCACCGTGGGGCGCAGCGTGTTTTGTCTTGGTTCGCCGTGCCGGCGTCCTGGCTGCTGGGCGCGGAGCGGGTGTGCAGGCGCTGCCCGTCGAGGAGGGAGCGGAGGCGGGCTCTCCGGGGCGATGCTCGCTCTGGGAGCGGACGATCTCAGATGAAGCGTTTCCTCCTTCCCAGGCTGGACAGCGCGGTGTTTCTCGGCGAGGAAGACAGGGCGTTCTTCCGTGAGGCGGGCCGCTTCTCCCAAGTGGACGCCGCGCAGCTGCTGCGGAGGACGTCGGGCACGGACCTGTGCTCCGTGTACAGCCTGGGTGCGTGTGTGCGCGGGTGGCTGGTCGGGGGGCCCGGCTGCCTCCCCCACGGGCAGCCCTGCTCCTCTGTCTCCTCGCCCCGCACTCAGGGCCTGGGAGGCCGCAGTGCAGAACATTCCCGAAGGAAAGGTGTCACCCATGATGAAAAGAAGCAGGACAGAGGGGACGGTGGCAGAGCACCCTCGCCTGTCACAACTCTGGTCGTGGGGACGCGACATTACAGCTCCTTCCTCGTCCCGGGGTGGAGATAAACCCATATGTGCACACCCACGCGAAGACACACACACACTCGAGCACGCACACACATAGCTACACCTCCATGCACACCCATACGCATACACACACACACGCACACATCCTAGCCTGCTTGCTGGGCGCTGGCTGGTGGCCGACCTGTCTCTCCTCTCCCTTTCCAGACAGACTGGGAGGAGCCGAGGCTGAGCAGCCAGAAGAGCAAGGTGGGTCCTCACCGCCCACCCCCCGCCCCCGTGCAGGGCTCCTCTGTCCCCGGGCCGGGCCTCAGGGGACTGCACCGGGCAGGGACCCAGGGCCCACTGTCCGTGGGTGTGGGGCACAGACCTCACTTGCTTGCGGGGGAGGCTGGCAGGTGGGGGCCCTGCCCTGAGGCCGGATGGGGTAAAGGTGAAGCTCCCTCCTCTGCAGCAGCACGTCCCCGGCAAACATGCCTGGTCCCCCGCCCTGTCCGCCGGCAAGGCGGGCGTCCCCGCATTGCCTGGGCCCAGGTCTGGCCCAGGGTCGCTTCGCACAACCCAGAGCAGTCGCAGTTCTGGGCGTTAAAGGGTAGGCGGGCCCGGAGTCTGGAGCCTTAAGTTAGAGAAGCCCCCCCCCCCCGCCCCCCGCCGCAGGTCTGCTGCAGCCCCTGAGGGGCGGGTCCGGGGAGAACCCTCCTCCTCCCTCCCAGCCGCCACCTCCTCCCCAGCAGGGGGTCCGCATCGAGAGGGTCTGGGGACGTCCCCACCCCAGGTTGCTTTGAGAACCCCTGAGAATAGGAGGCATCGAATCACAAATAGGGAAGAGCCGCTTGCAGGAGTTGGTGAGACGCCGCCCCCCCAGGGCTGTTCCAGGGGCATCTCCCCAAGGCCGCGCTGGGTGAGAAAGGGGGGGGCCTCACGCCTGCCACGTCCAGGGCGCACATGCGGGGAGCCCCAGACGCGGGTGTGTTCTCGGCAAATATAACATACAGTCAGGTCAGACTTGCCACTATTGAGTTGTGTTTTTTTTTTTTGTTTTTTTTTTTAAATTCCTGGACTTTACAGACTAATAAGGACACGGTTATTTCTGAACACTTTTTATATGTGACTTTGAAACAGAAGAGCCTTTGCCGGTTCTTTCCTCCAAACAAACTCCCCTTGAAGCCTGTGTTTTCACATCAGGAAGCAGGGCTTGCTGGCTCCACGAAGCTGGGCAAGCTGCTGGCCTCCGCCTCTTTCCAAAGCCAACCGTCGGGGGCAGGCCGTGTGGGCGGCCGGGCAGCCCCGGATGCTCCAGCTCTTGCCCTTTCTTTCTTTTTTTTTTTAACCTTTAATAACCACGGGCCTCTGGTTCCCAAACCCGCCAATGAGAGGGTAGAGCTGGGGCATCTGGGAGCCGTGCCCGACCCTCCCTGGTGGAACCGGCCCCAGGCTGGGAAGGGGCTTTGCTCCGCTGTGGCTGCGTGTGTCAAGTCTGCGGAGTGGCTTTTGAGCCCAGACTGACCCTTTCTCGGATTGGCTCTGGATGATGTTGTGGGGACACCCGCCTCCCATGGGCAGCCCGAGGCGCAGGCACAGCCACCCGTGGGCAGTTGCAGCAGTGACGGATGTCCTGCTCAGTGGCTTGGAATCTTTCCAACGGGAGAGGGGGGTCTCCGAGTGGTCACGGAGCTAGGACACCAGTCTCCTGAAACTGCTTTCAAACAGGAAAGAGTAAGAAGAGGCCACTTGGATACTTGGCTGAATCGACCTGTGTTCCTCCTGTAACCATATGATTAAGCTCTCGCTGCGCACTGGGCTCCCACTGCGCGCTGGGTTCCCACTGTGCCCTGGGCTCCCACTGCGCGCTGGGCTCCCACTGTGCCCTGGGCTCCCACTGCGCGCTGGGTTCCCACTGTGCCCTGAGCTCCCACTGTGCCCTGGGCTCCCATTGTGCTCTGGGCTCCCACTGCGCGCTGGGCTCCCACTGCGCGCTGGGCTCCCACCATGCGCTGGGTGCTGGGCATTCCCTGGAAAGGCAGTATCTGCAAAGTGCCGCCACAGAGACACTGACCCCAGGGAAGGACGTCCCTGCCCCACCCTGGACTCAGATCAGACTCTAAACCACCCGGGGTTTTGTTGACTTGCAGAAATGCCTCCTCCTGGCCTGCATCCAGAGCCACGGGAGACCCTGCAGAAGGTGAAGAATGTTCTGGAACAATGGAAGTCCTGCCCCAGCTGCCCCAAGGAGCCGGTCTCCTGGGATCTCCATACCGTGCCCAGCGGTGTGAGCTCACCCGATGACCAGGAGCCCTGCTTCTGCCTGGACGCTGAGGACGACTGGGCCGACCCGGAGGCCCTGGGCTCCCTGCTGCGCTTCTTGGACTCTCCCAGGTATGAGGCCTGCTTCCGGGGCCTGTACGACCTCTCCCTGCCGGCACTGAGCACCATGTTCCGTGGCTTCACCGACGAGGAAGAGCTGGCTGGGCGCCTGGCACGGGCCCGGGGGGTAGCCAAGAAGGCGGACTTCCCCATGGCCCTGGCCAGGCTCTGCTTCCTCCTGGGGCGGCTGTGCTTGCGGAAGCTCAAACTGTCCCAGGCCCGGGTATACTTCGAGGAAGCTCTGGGGGCCTTGGGGGGCCACTTCGGCGACCTCTTCCTGGTGGTGGCCCTGTATGCCAACCTGGCCACCATCCACCTGAGGCAGAAGAACAGGGAGAAGTGCGGGCAGGTGGTGCCCAGGGCCGCTGCCCTGCTCCTGGGGACAGCCGGCCACGTCTGCAGCACCGAGGCGGAGGCGGAGCTCCTGAGACACGGCCTGCGGAGGGCCATCAGCGGCCAGAGCCCTCAGGCCGAGGCCCGGGCCTGCTTCCTGCTGGCCAGGCACCACGTGCACCTCAAGCAGCCGGAGGCCGCCCTGCCCTTCCTGGAGAGGCTGCTGCTTCTGCACAGGACCTTGGGATCCCCGGACGCCTTGTGGCCGGCCGATGGCTACCTGCTCCTGGCAGACATCTACAGCCGCAAGTGCCTGCCCCACCTGGCGCTCAGCTGCGTCAAGGTGGGCTCGCTGCGGACGCGGGGCTCTCTGGCCAGCTCGCTCCGGAGCGTGGACCTGGTCCTGAGGAATACCCCCCAGTCCCCGCGCCTCCCCGCCCAGACCGCGCACTACCTCAGGCAGGCGCTGGCCGCCACGGCCTTGAGCCCAGGGCCAGCGCCCCGCGGCCTCCTGCACGCCAGCCTGGCCAGGCTGCACAGCCTCCATGGGCAGCACGGCCAGGCCATCTCCGCCATGCTGCGGGCCGTGGAAGCCGACGCCCAGGTGGACGGCGGCCTGCTCGTGGACCGCCTGGTGGCCCTCGCCTGGCTGCACGTGCTCCACAGGCAGAGCTCAGTGGCCCTGGACATCCTGGAGTTGGTCCTGGATGCAGCTGTGGCCAGCGCGGACCAGGAGGGCGTGGTCGCCAACATGACGGCCATCGCCCTGAAGAGGACGGGCCGGACCCGGCAGGCGGCCGAGGGCTACTACCGCGCCCTGCGCATCGCCAAGGCCCGGGGCCAGCCGCGGAACCAGGCGGTGGCCCTGGCCAACTTCGGGGCCTTGTGCCTGCGGGCCGGGGCGCGCGGGCTGGCCCAGCACTACCTCCTGGAGGCCGTGCAGCTCTTCTCGCGGCTGCCCAGCGGGGAGTGCGGCCGGGACTTCACCCAGGTGCTCCTGCAGCTGGGCTGCCTGTACACCTGCCGGGCCCTTGCCCGGCAGGGCAAGTGCTACTATGAGTGGGCCTTCCTGGTCGCCGTGGAGACGGACCACTTGGAGAGTAAGTGCTGCCCTGGCCCTGCTCTGACGTCCTGGAAAGAATGTGTTTTCTTCTCACGTCCGCTCAGAGCACCCCCGGTGTGCGCGGCTCGCAGGCGGGCGGTGGTTTCCCACCCCTGAGAGCACTAAGAGGACCTGCAGCTGCTTGTGGGGGTGGGGGGAGGGCGCCCCACACTGGGCCAGGCGCCTGCAGGGCCGCCACCACGGCTCAGCCCGCCTGGGGCTTCCTGCCTTGAGATCCGGGAGCCCGCGGCCAGGGAATTCCCGCGGGCGGGGGCAGGCGGGGCAGGTCGCCTTGCACGTAGCCCAGGCCGGGAGGGGCGGCTGAGCAGACGGGACCCGTGGGAACCTTGAACACGGGGGTGGTTTAGGGGGGCATCCTCTGGGCACCGAGCAGCCCTGCACACCGGACGCCTCCCAGGGGGCGGTGGTCCCGGGGCGGAGGAGCATTAGCTTTGCGCACAGCCCTCGGCGTGTGAGTGCACCAGGCTCCGGGCAGGGCTCCCCCTGCAAACGGCACCCGAGGGGCTCTCGTGGGAAAGAGGCCCCGGTCACACAAGCCCCACGCGGGTCCTCGGCGTGCTGATGGGCAGCTCCCAGCCCGGCTCCTGGGTCAGGGCGTCCCTTTAGTCTTGGGCCTGAGGGTAAGGAGGGCTTAGCCGAGCACGGGCAGGACGGGAGCTGGCAGAAGGGGCAGCTGGAGCCAAGGCCCTGCCGGCAGGAGCTGGGCCGCACGCTGCGGAGGCGAGCGCCTCGACAGGGCCAGGCGGGGCGGAGAGCCGGGCTGCGGTCTGGCGTCCTCCCCGAGAGTGCTGGGGGCGCCCCCTGAGGCTGGCAGGGGCGCTGTGGGCCCCTCAGAGCACTCGGAGATCAGAGTTGGGAAGGCCAAGCCGGGGGACCTGGGGGACCGTGCTGTACCCCAACCCCTGTATTGAATGGCAAGGAGATTGAGGGCTGGGTGGTTCCCAGGGTCATCACGCGTTTGCTGTGGGCCGCCTTGCAGGCTGTTTCAGCCGTTGGGGTCCCTTTCGGCGTTTGTTCCTTTTCTGTAGGTCATCTGATGTGTCCGTGCGCATGGCACACAGGATGCTGTCAGCACCCTGTCACCTCTGAGGTCATGTCCCGGGTGAGGGTGAATGTCCCTCTCACTCTGACCTCGGCAACTTGCGTCTTCTCTTTTTTTCTCAGTCAGTCTGGCTAATGATTTGTCCGTGTCATTAATCTTGTCCGAGAACCAGCGTTTGGCTTCATTGATTTTTCTATTGTCTATTTTTAAAATTATGTCCTTGAATCTTTTTTAAACTTTTTTTATTTATGAATTTGAGAGTGAGAGAATGAAGTAACGGGGAAGGGGGGAGAGAGAAAGAAACATTGATTTGTTGTTCCACTTATTTATGCATTTGTTGGTTGATTTCTGGATGGGCCCTGACCGGGGATCGAACCTGCAACCTTGGCATATCGGGATGATGCTCTAACCACGTGAGCCACCTGGCCAGGGCTTTGGATCGTTTTTAATGGTGAAAGCTCTCAGCTGTCCCCAGGCCCCCTGCTTTCAGACGAGGCAACTGAAGCTGCGGTTGTGAGCCCGTTGTCAGGACAGAGCTCTGGTTCCCGAATGCCAGAGGCGGCACTGGGATCCCGTCTGCCCTGCGTGTCTGTGCTCAGTCTTGGGTGTGGCCGGCCCACCTGCCGGCGGGGGTGCTGGCGTCCAGCCTCGTCAGCCCAGTATGACAGGCTTCCTGGCCGCCGGGTCGGGAGGAGCTCTGTGAAGCAGGGGCAGGTGTCCTGCTGGGAGAGCCTGGCCAGGACCCCCGCGTGGGGCTGATAAAAGCGGTCGTGCGTGTCCCCAGCACCCATGCCCCGCCCGGCCTGGCCCCATCGTGCAGGACCTTGGCCAGGGCCCTCAGCCTGCCTGAGCTGGGGCTCCCCGCCTGCGAGGACCCCAGTCACAGAGGTCCGGGAGCGGTGGGCGCGCAGCCGGGGCCCTCGAAAGCTGCAAACGTTGCCGTGTAAGTGCCCGTGATCTCTTCCTCATGTCTCCTGCCCAGGCCAACTGCACGCCGTCCAGCGGCTCTGTCACTTCTACAGCACGGTCAAGCCCCGGGCGGCCCAGTGCGTGGTCTACCATGAGTTCCAGCTCTCACTGGCCCGAAGAGTGGCCGACAAGGCGCTGGAGGGGCAGCTCCTGGAGACCATCAGCCAGCTCTACCTGTCCCTGGGCACTGAGCGGTGAGCACCGGCTCTGCAGAGCGGCAGGGGGTGGCAAGGACGCCGGGGGCCCCCCGGGGGCCTCCCGGGACCCTTAGTACCGGGCAAGCTCTGCGGCGCCAGGTAGGGGCCGTACTGACAGATGCCCATGACGCAGGAGCCCGCGATGCCTGTCCTCGGTCTCCGCTGGCCCTCCTCCCCGGGGGAGGCCGCGTGCACTCTGGGCCGCCCTCTGCTGTGGGGGCTCCTGTAAGCTGACCTCTGCTCGCCCTGGGCCTGCTCCCTTGGCCCCGTTCCGGTGTAAGGACAGCAGCCACCTGTGTTTGGGGGAGCCTCGTGCACAGAGGACAGTCCATTGCCCCATCAGCTTTCCATGGGGCCGGGTTTCAGGGTCCTGTGTCCCTTGTGAAGCCCACACTGGGCCCCTGACTGGACGGGGTGGGGGATGGCTGGAGCCAGGCAGCCCGCAGGGCCTGGGAGAAGCTCCATCGCCCGCCCTTTGGTGCAGGGTCTCGCTGAAAGAGAGGGAGGAGCCAGGCTTCCACAGGCTTTGGCGCGGCTAGTCCTGGGCCTCGGTTCCACGGCAGGGCCCGTGGGCCAGAGCTTCTCAAAGCGGGGTCCCCAGTGGTAGCATCCGCATCAGCGGGGAGCTTGCTGGGAAGGCCCCCTCCCAGGCCCGCCCCAGAGTTAGAAGCACGGGAGCAGAGCCCAGCCGCCCGCGACTTACGCCCTCTGGGTGACTGGCTCGCTCCAGTCTGATCATCTCTGAATTTGGCCCAGGGCTCTGTTTGCTGCTGTGCCCAGAGAGGTCAGGCACCTGTGGGCAGGAGGAGGGCAGAGACGGGACCCCGCGCCCCTCCGGGCCACGTGGCTGACGCTTCCTTCCGGAGAGCCTCCTTTATCTTTGCTGGGCACGCCGTGCAGCCTGCGTTCACGGGGCTCCCCCAGCAGCCTGGGCAGGTGCGCCAGCACCGGCCCGGCCCTGGGAAGAGCCTGGTCCCCTCCCACTGGGCGGCCAGCCCGGGGTGGGGCTAGTTTTGACTGTTGCATCTAATTCCAGGGCCTACAAATCGGCGCTGGACTACACCAAGCGCAGCCTGGGGATATTCATCGACCTCCAGGAGAAGGAGAAGGAGGCATACGCCTGGCTGCAGGCTGGGAAGATCTACTACCTCCTCCAGCAGAACGAGTTGGTGGACCTGTACATCCAGGTGCGAGGGGCTGGTGCACCTGTGCATCCAGGTGTGAGGGCTGCTGGTGTGCCCTCTCGTCCAGGTGCGAGGGGCTGGTGCGCTGTGGATCCGTGCATCCAGGTGCGAGGGCTGGTGCGCCTGTGCACCCAGGCCACTCACTCGTCCCTAAGCCACGGTTGAGCTGTGTGCCAGGTGCCCTTGCCATCTCGCCGTTGTCCCTGGATTGTGTTTCCCGCCCCGCCCCCCACCAGCATCTCTCACAACAGCTTCGGCTCCCCGGGGCCAGAGGCATGTGCCCCTCGCCGTGCCCCCACCCTGCTGGGACACAGCAAGGGCTCCATCCATGTGCACACAACGTGCCCACGCAGCTGGCACACAGAAGACCTCGCTCCTGTAGCATGTGGCACGTCTCCTTTAAACATGACATGACCCAGGACAAATTGGGAGGCTCACAATCTTTGCGAGTTGTTTCCTTTTCGAGTACCTGCTGTGCACCTCCCTGGGCCAGGGGCTGAGGCTCTGGGGGGTCCGGAGCTCCCGGCTGAGGGGGCAAGGCTCCTCGGGCAAGGCTGGCTCGGGGTCCCGGGGCTGTGGCAGGATGGGGGGCGGGGGACAGAAAGGAGCAGGAGGATGAGCGCGTGTCCGTCTGGGGCCACTGAGACTGGTTCCAGTTGCCGCAAGTGGGGCCCATGTCCATGGTTGGGGGGCGGGCCAGCAGCAGGACTCACAGGGGCAAAAGCGCGGAGCTCCAAGTGGGGGGGGGGGGGCCAAGTCCGGGACTGCCGGCAGCCGGGCATGGCTGGACCGCAGGCGGGGACGAGTCCTCCCGTTTCCTCGGCCGTCCTTGCGGAGCACCTACTCTGCACCAGGCCCTGTGCCCGGCCCTGGGCGCGGCCGAGAAGCTGGTCGCCTCTGTACTCTGGGGGGAGAGATGGGCAGACGTGTGCCATCAGGTGTTGCCAAGGGGCGCAGAGGAAACAGAGTGGGAGCGGGGGCCCCGCAAGGCCGAGCGGAGGGTGCCGCGTCTGGGCGTGGCCTCGGACTCGAGAGCCAGCTGTGAACTCTGTGCCCGGAGCTGTGAGCTCCGGGTCCTCAACAGGACAAGCCTCCTCACGGGACCCAGGGCTGAAGGGGTCACCTCACGCCAGTGGGTGACAGTGAGCTCGAAATGCACAGGGCTTGTCGCTCCCAAAGCGTGTGAGGGACGTGGCCCCCAGCGCACGTGCTTCTGAAGCGCGACTGGGGGTCTCATGACAGGTGCCGCCTCCCCACAGGTGGCACAGGACGCAGCCCTGTACACGGGGGACCCCAACCTGGGGCTGGAGCTGTTCGAGGCTGCCGGAGACATCTTCTTCAACGGGGCCTGGGAGCGGGAGAAAGCCGTGTCCTTCTACAGGGTGAGGGCCCGGGGCCATGCGCAGGGGCGGGGCTCCGGGGGCATGAGGGCGGGGCCCGGGCACAGGCGCTGCGGGGCCGGGGCCTCCCAGAAGTAGGGCCGTCTGAGAGAGTCACGACCCCCCGGCTCCCACCCAGAGGGTCAGAGGAAGGGAGGGCTGTGAGGGCCACGGGCAGCTTTGGGCATTCAGCACACATCTGGGTCACCTCCAACAACCTGGGGTGTGAGCCCGCCCCCATCGTACACATGAGGATGCTGAGGCTCTGAGACCCACGGGGCGTGCCGAAGGACACGGCACATCAGCTGGGGGACGGGGGGACTGGGGGACGGGGGGACGGGGGGCCGGGGGGACGGGGGGCCGGGGGGACGGGGGGCCGGGGGGATGGGGACTGGGGCCTGGTCCACGTGTGCCCCCCCGCCCCGAGGGAGCGGCTTCTCCCCTCCCAGCTGCCCAGCGCCTGGCGTGCAGCTCGGCCCTGGGGTTCAGATAAACGTGGCGCCTTCAGCGCATAGCGGGCGCTGGACCCTCCTGGTCAGGCCCCCCCGCCCCGGAGGGGAGGGCTGGTCAGAGCGAGGCAGCGCAGGCGGGCGGGCTGAGGGTCACACCCTGGCTTGCTCACCGCCCTGGAGGTGCCAGGGCCTCTCTGAGCTGCCCTTCCCATCGGGGGACGGTGGGGTAGCTGTGCTTGGGGTAGCTGTGCTTGGGGCTCTGAGGGGGACCCTGGGTGTGGGCCAGCCGCTATAGGAGAGGGCCTGACCCCCCGCCTGTGTGGACAGGACCGGGCGCTGCCGCTGGCTGTGACCACAGGGAACCAGGAGGCAGAGCTCCGGCTGTGCAACAAGCTGGTGGCGCTGCTGACGGAAGTGGGGACACCGCAGGAGGGCCTGGAGTTCGCCCACGTGGCCCTGGCTCTCAGCATCTCGCTGGGTGAGCCCCTCACCCCTGAAATGAGGGCCGGAGCGGAAGGTCACGGGAGGCGGGCACAGGACGGCGTGGGCTCCTCCTGCCCGCCCGTCCATCTGTCCTTGGGCTGCCCTCTGTGCGGTGGGCCGAGATGAGCCGCATCCCCCCTCCCAGCCCCTGCCCGAGCCGCGCGCGCTGCCTGGCTGGATGCGACCAGCTCGGCGGCACCTCGGCCGCTTCGCTCGCCAACGGTCAGGCCGGCCACTGCGCCTTGTGTCCCAGACGCGCAGGCTTCTCACCTGCCCCCAACCTGCCAGGGCGCGTCGGCCCTTCCCCGCGCTCAGCCAGCCCCAGCTGTCCCCCGGCTGGCGAAACCCCAGAACCCTTTCCACGAGCCGGTCCCTCGGAGCCGGGTGTCCCTCTGTCCCAGCACCCGACTGTGCTGCCCCAGGCCTCCCAGCTTCCCCCAGAGAAGGGAGCCCCGAGAGGGCCGGGCACGCAGAGGGCGGGAAGCAGGGTTCGCGTGCTGGCCCCACGGGGCTCCCTGGAAGGGGGAGGTGGGCATGGCCTAGTCTGATGACTCCCCGAGGACGGGGCGGGGGCTGCTGCTGATACACCAGGAGGGTCAGATGTCATGTCCGAGGTTGACCGGAGCCCTGGCCCCTGCGGGTGCAACTGCATGACTTTTGGGGTCTGCTAGTCAAAAATAGCAACAAAGGCACCCCATCCAGGCGACCACATGCCGGCTCGGAGGTGGGGCCTCCCAGTCCTCAACGGTGTCCCACCCCCGCGGTGGATGGGGGCGCTGGGGGTGGGTGTTGCTGGGCCCACTTCTCGGACGGGAAGAGTGCGTCTCGGGCCGGGAGGTGACGGGCACGAGCTTTGAGGCGGCACCGGCGCGGGTGCTCCCGAGGAGCCCGTGCCCCTGCCACCGCCCCCTCCCCGCAGTGTGTCCTCACGCGGGGCCCTCCCCTGCGTCCCCAGGGGACCGTCTGAACGAGCGCGTGGCTTACCACCGGCTGGCCGCCCTGCACCACCAGCTGGGCCACGGCGAGCTGGCCGAGCACTTCTACCTGAAGGCGCTCTCGCTCTGCACCTCGCCGCTGGAGTTCGATGAGGAGACACTGTACTACGTGAAAGTGTACCTGGTGCTCGGGGACATCATCTTCTACGAGCTGAAGGTGTGTGCGGGGCGGGGAGGCGGGCCTCCGGTGCGCGGGGCCGCGTAGGGGCACCCTCGCCGGCCTTGGGTGGGATCCCCACTGAGGCCCCAGAGGCTTGGGTCCAGGTCCTCTGTCCGGCGCGCCCCAGGCCCCAGGGGCTCCGGGCCTGGCCAGGAGGAGCGGGCGCGGCCAGCCGGCCCTCCGAGCCCCAAGCAAGGCCAGGGCCTGCCCTTCAGAGCTCAGGGTCAGTGGAGGAGGCTGACATGGGAACAGGTGGCAGCAGCTGTTGGGTAAGGGACCAACGGGAGTGTAACCAGGGGGGCCTCCTGGAGGAGGTGGCGCAAAAGCTGAGTGTGGACAGTCCAATGGGAGTTAGCCACAGACAAGTGGGAGGGGAAAAGGACTCTCAGGGAAGAAAGGAGGGGGTCGCTGTGATCTCTGTGACGCAAGATGCAGCCCGAATCCTGGCCCCTCTTCCAGGAAGCCTGCCAGTCTGTGCAGGGCTCTTCCTGGGACCCTGGGACACCTTGAATCCTCATGTCACCTGGGCAGGGTGGCCACAATCATCCCACTTCACAGGAGAAAGCTCGGGTGTGATTTGCCCCAGGGTTCCAAGCAGGGACACGGCTCCAGGCAGCCAGGCTGAGCTGGGCCCATCGGAGTGCGGGCCTTGGCTATGCGCTGGCGCCACCTGATGGTCAGGAGCAGTCACTGCGGCCTCGGCCACGTCAGAGCCAGGCAGCTCTGGGGGATCCTGAGAGCAGTGGCAACCTCTGCGGCTGAGCGTGGCCCAGGCCGTGTGACTGGGCCCTGTGTCGTCCAGGCTGGGGCTGGAGACGCGAGTGGGGGCGGGGCGGGGCACCCTGACTTGGGACCCTGGGTTGGAGGCTAAGTTGCCTCTGGAATAGGAGCCAGTGTCTGGGAGACGTCACGCCCCATCAAAACTGCAAGGAAAGCTTCCGGAGGTGACACTGTGCGGGGCCGTGGGCGAGGTGGGGCCCGGCCATGTGGCCTCAGTGTGGACACGGACAGATGGAGGGACAGGAGTTGGGATGGCCCTGGGCTGGGGCGGCCCCGCGGGGGCAGCCAGACCCACCTCAGCCCGGGGGAAGCCACTGGGCCTCCGGGTGGGGGTGCGGCCCGGGCTGTGCAGGGCAGGGACCCCCTCAGGAGGGCCGGGGAGCAACGCAGGGGCCTGGCCGGAACGGGGCCTGGTGAAGGGCGGGGGGCGGGGCGGCCAGAGCGCCCGTCCAGGCTGCGCAGACCTCAGGGGCGCCCCCGAACCTCTGGCAGCCCCTCTGGAGCAGGTGGGCCTCTCCCAGGGGAATACCAGGGGCGCCCCCATCGCGGGCCTCCCGGGTGTCCCACCTGCCGCAGCCGGCACAGCGGGGGGCGGGGGGGGTGGGCGGTCAGCGGTGGGGGCAGCTCTGGGGACTTGGCTCCACGCGGCCCCTTCCACCCAGGACCAGCTCCTGTGCGACCTGTGCTCAACCTCACGTCTCCCCTCAGGACCCGTTCGACGCGGCCGGGTACTACCAGCTGGCGCTGGCGGCGGCCGTGGACCTGGGCCACAAAAAGGCCCAGATGAAGATCTACGCGCGCCTGGCCACCATCTACCACAGCTTCCTGCGGGACCGCGAGAAGTCTCTCTTCTTCTACCAGAAGGCCAGGGCCTTCGCTTCAGAGCTCAACCTCCGCAGGGCCAACCTGGCCCCCCAGCGGTGCTGGGGGCGGGTGCCCTGGCTGGCCTCCGGCGGCCACTCGCCCTGAGGGCCCGTGTTTTGGGTGTGGGGCCTGGCGCTCAGTTTCTGGGAAACGAGGGCAGGGGCCGAACAGCAATAAATGTGTTTGCAGCCACCTCCTCAAGTCTGCAGGCCTCCTGGGGAGCGAGCACCCAGGGACGAGGCCCCGACCGGGGGCCACCCTGCTGCTGCACCCCACCCTCAGGTATAAGTGGGAAGGCTGGGAGTCCCACAGGCCCAGGCCAGGTCCCCTGCCAGGCACTCACACGCGGCCTTGGGCGCATCACTCACTTGTCCCTCCTCGGAGCCCTTGCCATGTGTCTGGCGTGGAGTTCTAGCCTCTAACCTTCAGGCCTCCCTGCGGGGTTGGACGGCTGTGGGCCCCTTTTACAGCTGAAAAACAGGACCAGAGAGGTCGGGTGCTTTGCCCACAGTCACACAGCGGGTAGTAGGGGCTGAGCTCCAGAGTTGAGCCTGGTAGCAGGTAGGCGCCGCAGCGTCTGCCGCCTACCCCGCCGGCCCCCCTGCTCCCTGCACCCCCCCCCCCGGGGCAGCAGTCCCAGGAACCCCCCCGCATTCCTCGCTGAAATCCTCCCCCGACTGACAGGCAGGGGACCCAAGGCCCAAGGAGGCAGGTCGGGTGGGGGTCGCCCACAGGGCACCACTCCAAGCTCCTCGTTTTCTTTAATTTATTTTGTGCGTCAGGCAAAATTCACGTAACATAAAATCAACTGTTTCAAGCGGCTGATTCAGGGGCGTTTTTCTCCGTCATGATGCTGTGCCACCACCACCCCTGTCTGGGTCCAAAACACGGTCCACCCCCCGAGGAAGCCTGTGCCCCTGAAACCGACACTTCTCAGCCCCTCTCCCCACACCCTCATTTAACAGAAGGGGAGACCAAAGCCAGGAGCGGGCTCACCGGTGGGGCAGAGCGGGTCCAGTGCTGGGCCCGGGTCGCGGCCAGCAGAGGGGGCAGGGCCCTGGGGAGAGCAGAAGAGATCTGTCAGTCCTCCTTCCTCCGGTCCTGGGTGCTGGGAGCCCCACCACCCGCCCCAGAGCCTACAGGCCTCCCACCAGGGGGCAGCAGAGAGCTTCCCAGAGCCCAAACCCCGGCAAAGGAACAGCCTGATGAGAACTGGGAATGGAGCTGGGACAAACCTTCTGACCTTGACCCAAGGCTGCCTTTTCTGCGGCTGGCCTGAAAGTGGGAAGGAAAACAGGAAGGCCTGAGGAAGCGCCCGTCCCAGGCGCCCCGGGGACACAGATCTCTGAGGCCTGTGACCGGCAGCCAGCCAGCACCCAGGCCTGGGCCCGTAGCCACTCGGAGTGGGGTGGGACCCACAGCAGGTCACCCGCCAACCACCTGCCACAGACAGCGTGGGCCTTGGCATCTGTGCCCCGCCGCAAGCTTTCGTCCCCTGACCGCCCCTCCCCCCACCCCCCGGGGGAAGTGGCCTCCTGGGACCCCGCTGCTCTTGGCAGCTGACCTGGAGGTCGAGAGGGGAAGCTCGTTCGTCCCAGCCCTGGGGTCAGATTCAAGTCCCGCACTTATAGGCTGTGGGGTGCGTGGGGACAGCATTTATTCCTCTGCGTCCCAGCTGATTACAGCTAGCACGGGGCGGGCAGGCCCTGCATCGGTCTGAAGCGAGGATCTGAGCAGCCGGCTCCACTCCGCTCCGCGCTCAGGGCTGCCTGTTTCCTATTAACGATACTTATTACTGTGGGAAGAGCGCCAACACCCACAGGCTACGGAGCCCGGAACCCAAGGTTGAGTCACTCGGGCCAAGTCGCTTAACCACTTAGGCCCTCTGTCTCTTCTTCATCTGTCACCAAAGACAAACTGCACCTCCAGGTCCTGGGAACGAGGGGAGACTGCATGCTGGGCACAGAGGGGGCTCACAGGGCTGGGCGGCCAGCCTCTCTCCTGTGTGGCCGAGGGGCAGAGGTGGCTGCCAGGGGCCGGGCTCACAGCCGGTCCTGCCTGGCCCCTCCCGAGGGCCGCAACCCCGGAGCCCTTTTCTCAGCCGTGGCTGTGAGACGGGCGTGTGCCTGGCACCAGGCGGCGCCGACGGGCACAGAGGGCAGGGCCCACTGGGCTGGCTGTGGAAGAAGGCGCCAGTGTCTGCCCAGTCACCTCCCCACACTAGCTCACTGTGCACCTACTGCGCGCGAGCTCACTAACGGCTGCTGGACAGGGGCCCTGGGGAGCTCCCAGGGCTGGGCATAAAGTCGCACTCGTTGCCATGGGTCCCCGGAGGCTCTGCCAGCCACCTCCCCCAGCAGCAGGGAAGCACCCAGCCTGCGGCCACGCAGCCGCCGCTCCGGACTGTGAGGTGCTGGAGCTCCATGCAGCCTGGCTGTCTCCACCCCCTAGTCTCTGCTCCGGCTTCACTGCGGGGCCAGTGTGGCCCAATCCCAGGTGGCCCCAGGTTTGGACAAGGAGACCAGAGCTCAGAGAGGGCGTGTGACCAGCCCCAGGATGCACAGCATCTCTGGCCGACGTCACTGCTGTGCAGGTGCAGGTCGTGGGCAGCCTCGCTGTGAGGCTCAGCTTGTGTCCCGGCGGCTTCCCCGGAGATGGCGAGAGAAGCAAGCTCCCCATCAGTGGAGGGGTTCGAGCAGCCACAAGGGGCGTCCCCTGTGGACAGAGAGGTGCGCCTAGGTGACCCCGAGGGAGCGCAGGGTGGGGCATCACAGCTCCCCTTGGGCTCCAGCTGGCACCGTCTGGGACCGCAGTGGCGTCTGGGGACAGCTCGATAGCGGCCGGCTGTGCGCCTCCCGGCCCGGCCTGGGCAGGGGCTGTGGGTCTCAGGCTGTGCAGCCCGGACCTGTCTACCGGCAGCTGGGCGGGGGGCCCGTGCAAGTCCAGGCCTTGCTGCTCAGACGGCGGCCCCCACAGAAGGCACCCTGCCTGTGCCACAGGCCTGCGCTCTGGGCGCCTCGGTTTGCTCCTCTGTAAGAGGGGGTGGCAGTCCCTGCCAGGCTGTTCGGACGTCGAGCGCCTGGCATTTGCCCCTTGGGTGAGTACACTCACCGGTCGCTGTGCAAACAGGAATGAAAACGCCGGCGTGTTTTGACCCAGGCGGAGGCAGGAACACGAACGTGCCTCTTTATAAGCCCACCCCGAAGGCAGGTGAGACTGAACGTTAGGTCGCATCAGGTGGGGAGGGAAGAGAATCTCAGGTGTAATGACGCTCTTGCAGGAGCTGCCTGTTGCTCAAATGAGACATCAGCCGGGGCCCGGCCTGACCCGGTGAGCCTTTCCGGAGGGCCGGAACTCCTAGCAGGCAGAGCGGAGAAGCAGCGGGACTCCCCCCACGGCCCTGAGAAGGCCCTGAGAAGGCCCTGAGAAGCCCACCGCGGCGGGAGAACTGCCTACCGGGCCGGGGGCGTGGCCAGAGGTCCGGCAGGGCGGCTGGCTGCTGTCAGCGCCGCGGGGGCCTCGGTTCTGCAACGCGAGGAACTGAGTCTGCCAGCAACTAGCGGGCCCGGCTCTCAGGGGACATTGCAGCCCAGATAGGCCCTGGCCACAGCCTGCCAGGACTCCGAGCAGAGAGTGGGGCGCAGACGCCTGACCCACAAAACTGCAGTTAATGAACGGGCATTGCTCTCAGCTGTTATGTTTGTGGCCCTTCGTTACAAAGCCCAGATAACACACACCTGGGCTTAGGCCTGGCGTCCCTGCAGCCCAGAGCCGTCCCCGGAGGGACCGGCATTCAGCAGCACACCTGGCGGCGCCCCCCACAGGCCTCCGTGCCCCCCACCCACCGACCCCACACCAAGTGCACAGCCTTGAGGTTTAGCTTCTGCACCGGGAGCGGAGGCGGGAAGGCGGGAAGGCGGGAAGGCGGGGGTCGGGCCGCAGGCTCCCGGCCACCCTCCCGCTCTGAGTGAGGCCTCCATGGAGCCCACAGCATTCTTGCCTCAGCAGGCGGGGTCCTGGGGCCTGAGGGTCTCTGGGCTTTCTCCCGGGGGGCACCATTCTCAGCTGCGAGCGTGGCCCTTGTCCACCCAGCCAGAACCAGAAACAATTTCACAACCCCGGCCTCTGGGTTGGGCTTGCAGGCGTTCCGGGGAGAGGGAATGCGGGGCCAGGGGTGTCTCCGGGAAACAGGGGTGTCCCTCCCAGAACAAACAGGGTGGGCTCGTCTACAGGCTGAGTGAACCTCTCTGGGGACCTATCAATTTGGGGGGCTGTGAGGCTGGGGGAGGGCCTAGCTGTGTTTCCAGAGAAATCAGGGGCGGGAGGCCTGCTGCCTCAGGCTCAAGACCAGGCCCTGCCTGGGGTGGGGGGCAACCAAGGGGGCAGTTTCCTCCCAGGACAGGGGTGCTGCTCTCTGCGCGCCTTCCTCCCCACTGGCCCCATCCCGCCCTCGCTGGCCCTGCCCGGGTTTCCAGGAGGCTGCCGGCTGGCAGGGAGGGCCCGAGAAGCAGGGTCACGACCCCGCACACTGCCGGAGTCCCAGCCACTTCAAGCAGACACGCCCGTTCCCGGCACAGGCGGGGTCCCGAGCCGAGTGTGGGGTTGGCCGGGCTCTGACCGAGTCCCAACCGCCCGCTTTTCAGGACACACCCCAGGGGCCCCGCCTGGGACAGGGAAGGTGGGGGGCAAGAGAGGGGGCCCTCCCCTCCTCACCGCTGCCTGCCCCGTGGTGCGGCCCTCGGGCCGGGGCCCCCGGCGCTGGGAGCTTCTGCAGGCCCGTCGCGCCTCGTCTGAGTCTCCAGCCGGCACCTGGGCAGGGCAAGAGTAGCCCCCGGAGCCCTGTGAGCGGCCGGACGCCCACGGGACAAGCGCTCCACAGCCTTTCGTCCCCACCTGCGTGGGACGAATGCTCGGCAGCGAGCACAGCCCGCCCGCACCCGGTCAGGGCTGCCCACCCCACTCAACAGCAGACCTGGGGCGCCGTCCGCAGAGTCCCAGGCCGAGGCCGGGGGCTTCCACCGCTTCCGGCCCGCGGCACGTTGGAGGTCAGGTCCCAGGAGACGCAGCTCACAGAGGAAAAAGAAACAGACTCAGAGGAGTGTTAAAGAAACAAGTGGGCGTTATTCACCGATGAAACAGCTGTTTACATGGAAAATTCCGAGAGAGGCTTGGGCTTGCCGCACACAGACGCGGCCCAGCTTGCTGGGGAGGGCGAACAGAAGTTGATCCGTCGACGAGGGGCTGGGGAGGGCAGCTTTAAAACTTGCACAACTGAGACTATCACGAAAAAATATGCGCTATCCCATAATAAATCTAACCAAATATTTACTGTGCTTGTGGGTCGGAAAACTCACTGCGGTAAATAAAGATGTCAGCTCTCTTCAAGCTGACGTACGGCTTCCTGGCAATTCCCAAAAAACATCCCACAGGGTTTATGTAAAACTTCACAAATGGATTCTAGAATTTATGTGGCAGAACGTGAGGTCGGGAACAGCCGCCGCGCTCCTGGGGGAGAGTGTAGTA